TTTACCTAATAATTTAGTGAACATTAAATTGTTAGAGCTAGGATTGATCAATCTTAGTTAGTAATTAGACTGAATAAATCTTAGCTGTGCTAGAGAACTTGAATTGTGACCATAATTGCGTTTATACAACAAATCTTACATAGCATATTTACATTCATAATTAGTTATATGTTTAATTATGTGTGAACATACATGGTTTGGCATGAATTAGTTACTTATTGGTAAGATAGAACTAAATTACTAATATAACTAAAAACCAACTTAATAACCCATAATCATTAGCTAGCCATAAGGAAGAAGTGGATTCAACTAAGCAAGAGTGTGTTTTTATTTAATTTGATTTAAGTTCATCTGATCTTGCAAAATCAGAGAAAACCCCTTATTAAATTTGTTAAAAAATTAGGTTAATTTAATAGTAAGTAGATTAATTAGTAACACCGTTCCCTGTGATCGACACCCGACTTACCTAAGCTATACTGTAATCTCACTAGGTACACTGCCTATAAGTGCATAGTTAGTCGAAGTTTGTTAGGTTATAAATATTAAAATTAGTGGGTACTTTTGTGCACATCAAGTTTTTGACGCCGTTGCCGGGGAACGGTGCAGATTATTAGTTTATATACAATTCACGAGTACAAGGGCAATCTTGAGCATTTGGATCATACACCCATGCAAACCGAGTACGAAAGCGATACCGAGCCAGAATTTGAAGAACACACGAGTGAAACCGAGAACGAGCCAAGGAATGAGATGGCAGTTATTGAAGAAATGTCCATGGGAGCTTACAAGAAGCGAATCCGAGAAGATGTGGGTCCAGGATTAGTCCAACCCGCAATACCTGCCAATACCACATTCGAGCTGAAGGGACATATATTGACTGCGCTGAAGGACATCCCATTTTTCGGGAAAGACCATGAGGGTGCTTTTAAGCACCTAGATGACGTCAATGACATTACAGATTACTTCAATGTCCCAAATGTCAACAGGAACATAGTCTTGCTTAGGATGATGCCCGTCACTTTCAAAGGAGCTGCTAAGGAGTGGTTAAAAGCACTCCCACCGGGTACAATCACCACTTGGTCTCAAATGCGTGAACAATTCCTAGACCAGTTTTGTCCACCATCCAAGATAGCCAAACTCAAGAAGGCAATAGCCAACTTTGAGCAACAGCCGGGGGAGTCACTGTACGAATCATGGGAGCGGTACAAGGGCTTACTTAGAAATTGCCCACAACATGACCTAAATGTGCAGCAAGAGATGTCAATCTTTTATGATGGGGTCAACGTGATGACGAGACAACTCCTTGATTCTGAAGGACCTTTGACAAAGAAAATCCAAGGGAGGTCAAGGAGCTAATTGATGAATTCGCAAAACACTCTCGTGAATACCACAATCCGAGGCAAGAAGGAATCAAAGGCGGAGGAGGGTCCCAAACTGAAGAAATAGCAGCGGTCATGGCCATGTTAAAAAATATGGACCACATGATAACACAGATGGACCAATCGATACATGCCATAAGAGTGGGTTGCGAGAGATGCAGTGGTGCACACTTGACCAAGGACTGCAACGTGGACGAATTTGGGAACAGGAATGCTCAAGTATGCTACTCTAGTGGGGATAAAATTGATGAGGACTGGAGGAAACCGAAGGAGTGGCTGCCATATGAGGAGTATAAGAAGCAAAAAGAAGAGAAGTATAGGCAGACAGGTCGAGGCCTTTATCAAAAGGAGCAGCCACCAGCCGAGAAGAAACCCGACCTAGAGATCATTTTAATGAAGTTTATGGAAGCATCGGAAAAGCGACACGAGGCCACTAATTCTGCTATTCTGGAACAACAAACTTTGATAAAGAATCAGCAAGCCTCCATCCATAACCTTGAAGTACAATTTGGTCAACTAGCAACTCTAGTTCATGAAAAATTGTCCCCGAAGAGTCCCGAAGTACAGAACCAATCTCATGTAATGGCCATAGACACCGAAGAAGAAGCTATCTCGGAGTTCCTGGAAGCATTGGACGAAGAACCACGAACGCCCGATCAAAAGAAGAAGAAGATCAAGATCGAAAATCATGAAGCTGCTGAGTTCCAGAATTCACGACGTGAACTTTATATGTTCACGACGTGGGCCTGTCATGAACCGAAAAATTCTGCAGTTAGTTCGATTTATGAGCCGAATTTGCCTTTTCCTTCCCAAGCCACCCTTAGTCCACTGGAGAGAGAGCATAGAGAGTTTGTCAAGCATGTGAAGGGGATCCCAATTAATACCCCCTTTTTCGAGTCCTTATCTAAAGCTCCCAAGAACCAGAAATTACTGCAAGACTTGATAGACACTCGAAGGTAATTAAAGAAGCAGTCTACAGTGATTCTAAGTGAACAAACTTCAAAAGTTGTGTTGGGAGAGACACCAGAAAAGATGGGGGATCCTGGACGCCTCACTCTTCCATGCGAGTTTGGGAATAAAACAAAGGTTAATGCTTTAGCCGATTCTGGGGCTAGCATTAATCTGATGCCGTTTTCATTTTATCAAAAATTGGAGATTCAGAAAATGAAGACTACAAAAATGAAGATTCACATGGCGAATCGTTCGGTGACACAACCCCGAGGCATAGTGTAGGATATTTTAGTAAAAATTGGAAAATTTATTTTTCCAATAGACTTTGTAGTCTTGGACATGAAAGAAGATCCAGATGTTCTGATAATCCTAGGTCGGCCATTGCTCAACACTGCTGGTGCCCTTGTTGATATCCGCGAGTCTAAGCTAACTTTAAGGGTTGGAGATGAACAAGAAGTCTTTGGGATAAAGGGTGACTTTCAAGAAAATAAAGAAGAAGTGTTCACAATTAATGAAGAGAATGAACTAGAAGAACTGGAAAAGCTTATGGAAGAAGAGATAAAGGTAGTTCATCAAGTCAAGAGGACAAAACCAAAGGCATCTATTCCATATTTGATTGAAGTCATAGCTTACAAGAGCCCGCCTTCTTGGGTAAGCAAAGAGGATGAGGAAGTAACAAGTGATGAAGAGGAGGTCACTTCAAGAGTAACAAGGCCAGTGGTGAAAGAAGAAGAGAATAACATAAAGTACAAGGAGGAAACCAAGGGCACAAAACGCAAGCTTGAAGAAAAGGGAAAAGCTAAAAAGGAGAATTCAAAGAAGGAATATAAAAGGCGAGTTCAAGCTTACAAAAGGCGGTTCAAGGAACAAAAGATCTTGGTGGAGGACTCTTCCGAAGACTCAACGTAGGAGGCACAGAGTCCAAGAAAAAGAAGCGCTTCTCGGGAGGCAACCCGAGTTTGGTTTGAAATTTTTTTTTCTTTCTTTTTGCATTTTAGTTTTGAAAACTTAGATCGAGTCATCCAACTCTATTAGAACAAAATGTGGGGATCTTAAAACGGAAGTAGTAGTAATTAAGAACTTAGTTCAAACTCAAAAAAAAAATTGATTATCCAGACTTTATTCACGACGTGAATAGTTAGCCATTCATGACGTGAATGGTGAATGAACCGGACACATAATCCATGAGATGGCTTAACCCATTAGACTAGCAAGCCCAAGATCAGTCCGTGAGTACATGACCCAAACTTAAGCCCAGCCACTATTCATGACGTGAATTGTATATAATTCACGACGTGAACGTTTAAAAGTACGGGACCACATATTAAGTCCCTGGAAACCAGCAAAGGTACTAATTACCATTGTACGGGACCACTTATTGTTCATGAAGTGGAAACAGAAATTGGTCCCCCTTGGTCCCCATTGCTGCGAATTTAGCCGACAATCCTACTAATTACCATTGTGCTTACGTAATACTTCCAACAAAGGTATTATTATTGATTATTACGTTTAATTTTTGGTTCTAGTAGAGGAACTTAGGGTTAGGGTTTGTTAAATGATGAAATTAATTCTTTACAGTTCGTAAATAACCTTGGAATGTTCATGCTAAGTGTTTGGAAGTGGTATAGGAGTAAAACCCAAGGATATTTTGACTGGATTTTCCCCGATTGTGTAGATTCTGCCTCCTGCGGTTACGAACTCACGACGTGAATCATACAAGATTCACGACGTGAATTCTGGGGCTAATCAGAATTCATTTTTTTTTCTCTATGTTTGATTTGTGGATATTTGTTTTGGCTGTTTCTTTTTTGTGTTTTTGTAGGAATGGCTCCAAGAAGAGAGGTTCCAGCTGGGGTTGTGGGTTTACACCCGTTTTACAATTTTCCCGTGACGACGGCCCGTGATGTTTTGACCCATTGGAACAACAGATTGGGATGGCTTTACAACAGGGAAATTGCAGTTGCTCCAACAGTCAATTAGACAAGATTGAGGGAAGTAGGGCTCGTAGACCGGGTGGGCCCGTACTTGACAAAGACATTTATTGGATATGGCTATTCGTTCACCTGTTCTGGTTGGCAAAATCTATTCCGGGTGCAAGAGCGGGTCTACAAGGAATTTTGTGTCGAGTTCTTCGCAACGGTGACGTTTCAGGAAACGGTACAAGATCCACATTGGCCACATGCGTTGGTATTTCGATTGGGGGGCGAGTACCGGGACTGCAGCCTAGTTGAGTTTGCTTGGAGAGTGGGACTGTATGATCAACAGGAGGCTGTGACGCCCGAGTTTGGCATGTTTTTGGGAGAGGCTGCTAGAGGATATATGGAGGGTGTCACGGGATATTCTTTTTAGCATAACATTGCCTCCGGGATGTTTAATTCCGGAGTATCTCCTGAGAGTAGTATTCGGTCCCCGATCCATTGTTTAATCCACCGGTTCATTACCTTTTCCATCAACCATAAGAGGCATGGAGACAAAGTGATTAAGAAGAACTTATTTTTCTTATGGTGCATCTTACAGCCTGGTGTCTGTTGTAACATCCCGTATTTTCTAGCCCATTTTCTGGCTGGGTCTGCCGCAAGTTCGCGCCCTGGGAGCCCTATTTGTGGGGGTCATTTTGTTACTCGTTTGGCCCGTTCTTATCATCTGATTGTTCCCGATATTATTAGATCCATGACGTGTGTGGACGAACATGACTTTGGTATGGGATATTTGGAAACTATGTGAGTGGACAGAAATTTTGGATCGCACTAGGGAATAGTTCCATCAGATGCTGAGGGTGAAGATGAGGATGATCAGCCAGCCGATCAACCTGCACCAGAGCCGAGACCGAGATGCAGGAACGTAAGAGGAAGGGGAGACCGCGGGCAGCCGATACACCCACCTGCTTCCATGGTTGGTGCACCTTTTGGGGGTGATATGGCTGGTTACTTTGACCAGTTGTCATTGAGTGTGAATTGGATAGGCGGCACGATGGAAAATGTGGTTCAGCATCTTGGGGTGGAGCAGCCGTCTCATTTAGGGTATCATTAATGCGTACGTTTTTAGCTGGGAGTGTTTAATTCCGAGAGTCGAGACCCATATTTTCATAATAAGTTTGGGGTGAGTTAATGAAGTGGAGTGTCAGCGAATGAGTTATAAACTGATGACTTTGGAAGAGTCTTAATACATTAAGACATTAGAAGAAGGATTGAGCAATGTTTTCTACTTGTCCAGTTCTCACGACGTGAACATTTCTAATTCACGTCGTGAGTCAGTTATCAGGAGGTTATCAGGATACGTTCAGTTCGATTTCACTTCGTGAATTATTCCACGCTCACATCGTGAATATTAGATTTTTACGAGATTCAAGATTATTGTGGCTCATTTTTTTACCACCATGCAATGTGGCGTATGCTTTCCCACATTGGTCATTCTACTTTTGGAGACTTACACCATATTTAAAGATGATTGAAGGCTCGATTTCATGTTTTGCTGGTACACTCCTTATTTCGCGAGTTCCAGAATCAAGTTTCTATTTTTGGAAGTCCATATTCAAGATGCACGTTTCCTGCACTTGTAGAGATCTTCACGCCACTATTCCAGGGGAGTTTGTTCTTTTTTCTCCCTTTTCTTTAAGTTTTTTTTACTTTGATGCATACAACGAGGGCATTGTATGAAATAAGTGTGGGGTAGGGGTAGAAGAAGTAAATTGCTAGAAAATCATATAATAGTAAAGATTGAAAATTTTGAAATTTTTTTAATAATTGAATCTAGTAATAATAATTTGAGCTATAATTGCTAGTATTATGCGGGATGATCCGATGAAAGTTCAAATGTTTAGTTGAGCCAATATACATTATAGTGCATTTGTGGCTTCCCTTATTTTAGTGAAATCATGGAACAAAAACATAACCCCCCTCAGTTTGAAGGATGCAATATGTTTAGCAGCCTAAACCTGAAATGTATCCAGGAAAATTATTATCGTTAACCAATAAAGGTTGAAGTTGAGCGCCCCTGCTTAAGCATGTAGGGTTTTGAGTGAAAAAAAAGTGAGTTACATGTTAAAAACAAGAGAGAGAGAATTACAAGAAAAACTTTGAAGAATTTTTGGAGCATCATAGTTAAAGTATGAAATTAGAAGATCAAAAATTCTGAAGAAATTCAAAAAGTTGAAGATACCAAGAAATCAAATAAAATAAGGTGGTGAATTCAAAGAAATCAAAGATCAAATTGTTAAGAAAGTGAAGAATTCCAAAGAGATCCATAGTGGTATCATAAATTGTAATTTTCTAGATTATGTATGCTTGGGTTGCTCAACCACAAATACCTTGAGGTTAAGAGGTTTTCTGAGGATGGATTCGGAGGGTTGCATAAAATGAGCATTGTTCGGAAAAAGTGGGCAAGTGTTTATGAATATTGTGAGTATTTAAAGTATGGGGGGTACTTTAGGAAAATTTTAGACACAAATGCATGCGTTGAGGTCTTGGCATAATGGCTGAATTAGAGTCGGATTGTTCAGTGTAATGTTTGTTTAAATTTGCTTGAGGGCAAGCAAAGCCTAAGTGTGGGGTATTTTGATATTGCCATATTTATACTTATTTTTAGGCAATATTTAAGTACATTTTTATTAAAAATTTGGTAATTTGTTTAGAATAATGGTACTTATGAGCTTAAATGTTATTTATAGCAAAAAAAAAGAAGACATTTTGAAGAAAAGGGGACTGGAAATGTTAAAGAAAGAAACTTTGGGAATTAGAATAGTAAAAGTGAAGTAAATCTGGAAAAAGGTTATTCACGACGTGAGAATTGAAGGATTCACGACGTGAATCAATGGTTCTAGAAGATATGTACGCGGGTGAAGAAATCCTTGACGGGCACGGTTATCTACTACTCACGACGTGAATTTATTATTATTCACGACGTGAATTTATGGATAACAGCAATTATATAGATCCTTGACCTTTACGAATAGGAGGACTTTTGGCAGAAGAAAAGGAGTTCCAGGAGACGTTTCAGAGGAGAAAAAAGATCCTGGAAGAGGGATTTCAACACCAAAAGAAGTAAAGTTTTATATTTTAGTTTATTATGAACATGTCTTTCATTAGTTTTAGCTGTGTTAGTTTAATTACTATGATGAGCAGCTGAATCTAGCTACTCTTGCTTAGCTAGATGAAGCTTTGAACTTATGAATAGTTATATGTTTATGGATTAATTTGAGTTGGTAAGAATTGTTTGTGTTTGATTTGTACAACCTAGCATGCTATTATTTGTTTATCTAATTGCTAGATTGCATGTTCTGTGTAGCTTAGTGACCATGAAACTGCATGAACTTGTTTACCTAATAATTTAGTGAACATTAAATTGTTAGAGCTAGGATTGACCAATCTTAGTTAGTAATTAGACTGAATAAATCTTAGCTGTGCTAGAGAACGTGAATTGTGACCATAATTGCGTTTATACAACAAATCTTACATAGCATATTTACATTCATAATTAGTTCTGTGTTTAATTATGTGTGAACATACATGGTTTGACATGAATTAGTTACTTATTGGTAAGATAGAACTAAATTACTAATATAACTAAAAACCAACTTAATAACCCATAATCATTAGCTAGCCATAAGGAAGAAGTGGATTCAACTAAGCAAGAGTGTGTTTTTATTTAATTTGATTTAAGTTCATCTGATCTTGCAAAATCAGATAAAACCCCTTATTAAATTTGTTAATAAATTAGGTTAATTTAATAGTAAGTAGATTAATTAGTAACACCGTTCCCTTTGATCGACACCCGACTTACCTAAGCTAATCTGACTAGGTACACTGCCTATAAGTGCATAGTTAGTCTAAGTTTGTTAGGTTATAAATATTAAAATCAGTGGGTACTTTTGTGCACATCACCTGCATATTTGCAAGTCGTGAAAATCCACATTACTATGATCATGTATACCCAATATAACTATCACAATGTGTTGTGATTCATTGGTATAGTTAGATCCTGAAATCGTTCCATGCTATAGCACCTAGTGATGTATGTCCTATTATCATATATGTAAATGCACTCATGTAAACGTATCTATGTAAATGTACTCATGTAAGCGTAATCATGTAAACGTAATCATGTAATAGTATAGTAGTGTACTGTAATGTTCTGCGCGTGGTAGCTGTAATGTGTGTTCTCTCTCTATCTAGCATGTATAGTAATGTACTGTGTGTACTAGCTGTAATGTGTGTTCTCTCTCTATCTAGCATGTATAGACTCATGAATGAACTGACTCGTGGTATGATTCCGCATTCTAGTAAACGTATTAGTATCTTCCTAAACTACCTATATGGTAGCTTACTAGTAATATAACTGGTACGTATGAACATGGAAGTATGCCGTTGTTACCCAAGGGTATTGAACTGACTGGAAGAACCTTTATGAATATATATGTACACATGATACATAACTAATATTTAAATGACCTTCGGATGGATACCCGATACCTTACAAGACCACATCCCAATGGGGAAAAGGAAATAAAGCGGCTAGCCTTCCTAAGTCCTTTAAACATTTCTTATATAACTATACATACATAGGCATGCAATTGACAATATAAAAGCATAAAATAAGTTTTGTAACACCTTTGAACATGATTACTATCTAAGAAAATGTCGACTTGATGTCAGCCTATAAAACATGTTGAAAGTATTTGTTTGATAGAACATTTTAAGTATAAAGAAACATTTGTTTGAAACACAATTGTAAATGAGTTTGAAATGAAACATAAAGTGTATAATGAACAGTTTAATAAGGAGTTTTAAACATATAAAACGTTTACGAAAATCATTTGAAGAAAACTGTTTGGTAAAACAGCTAATGAGTAGTAAATTATTTGAATGCTGCTTATTAATCACGTGTGATTGATATAATAACTAGCATGATTCTACTTGTATCCCCCTATAAAAACATTTAAAAACATTTAAAACATTGATTAATGGGTATGAACTCACCTGTACCAAGTGGTTGGGATGAACGGACTGAAATAGGATGCTAGGTGTCAAGTGAAGACTAGTACACACTATATGATCCTAGATAACATACAATATCACATATGTGTACCCAATTAGTGTCTAAATAACTAATAAACAAAGGTAAGACATCCTAGGGCATGATAAACACTTTGTATAAGTGTTATAAGTGCTAAGGAGTTCATCTAAGTGTTCTAAGGCAAGGCTATTGGGTTTTAGGGTTCAAGGGAACCCCTAATATGAGTTTACTCCCCATAGACCATATCGCATTGAGTTTACGGTCGTAAACTCTTGAGTTTTCGGCCGTAAGCTCATAACATTATGACCAATTTTCGGTTTGAAGTCTTCTAAGCCATTCCAAAACAAATAAAAGTGAACTTGACTTATAATTTGAAATGATTGACTTTAGGGTTTTACCGAATGAAGATTTCGGGTTGTCACATCATCCCCCCGTTAGAAGGAATTTCGTTCCGAAATTTGAATTTAGGTAAGGAAGTAGGCATGAATTATCAAGCCAAGAAGTGGGGATACTTCCTAATCAATCGATTCTCGCGCTCCCAGGTGAATTCGGGTCCCTAGTTGGCATCACAGCGAACCTCCACTTAAAGGGAAGCGACTATGAATCGTTTGCATGACCTCTCGGTCCATGGTCACTACAGTTATTCCACGTAGGTGAGGCTCTTGTAGGACTCGATCTCTTCGAGTAGGATTTCAAGAGTCTCGTCAGATCGATACTTTTTACAAGTTCGAGACGTGAAGGGTAGAATGTACGTTACTAAGCTCGCGGAGTAGGTCTAGTCTGTGAGATACAGGACCGATTCTGGTACGAATCTCGGAGGTCCTGAATATCTTGGATTTAGCTTTCCACGTGTTACGAAGCGTATTACGCCATTCCCAGAGTGAGATTTCCAAAAGGATTTGGCCTCTCACTTGAAATTCCAAGGTTTTCTTTCTCTTGCTTGTCTTCCCAGTCAAGGGCCACTCCCTTCTGAGTCAAAGTCATAAGAGGTTTCGGTAATTTGCGAGGAGTTCTGAATG